ACAATGTTTGTGCTAGCAATAATTAAGCCAGATAAGGATATTTATCCTAGAAATAACTAAGATAAAAAAGTGACAATAAAACACACCCAGAATAATCCTAAACCATTCAACATTCATTAAGGTAAAATAAAGTAAATAAATTTAGCCAATTGGTTATTTCCATATTGGTGGATTTCTTTAAATAGTAATGAAATCATTGCTAAAAAATCCATTGTTATTAAAATAAAAAAGTTGGCTCAGCCTACCAAAATTAGATTTGTAAGTTGCTGGTCATTCCCATAATTAAATCTGTGTCACAAATTTGCAAGAAAAATGGACACTATGACTAATGCATTTACTTGCTGCACTAGTGCTGTCAGGCTGTGTAAATCATTATGCCTGCTAAAGCAGAGTAGATAAGAATTCCATACATTTTCATTAACCAGCTAGGCTTTACATATACGTGAAAAGCTAACTTTCACGTTCCCTGCTAGCTTTAGCTTTCATTTGGAAGACAATGTAAATAAAAACACTAGCCTCGATTTGATTAGCCAAATGGCCGCTCCAAAAATTATTTGAGTTTTTGGACAATACAAACCAGCTCTGTCCCCTTCAAAAGATGGTCAGATAAAACAAAAAAACCCCATATATACTTAATTTGGACAAAGGAAATCAGTGAAATGATGGGCACCTCAAATAGGTTTCTTCCTTCAGACTGACTTATGTAGCCCGGACACATGCCTTATTTCATCCCATAGGTTTAAACAAAGGAAGTGAAGCTAATCCGAGACAGCATCAGAAGAAGTCTCCACCCACACTTTCATTTTTCGGCTGCCCTTCGCTCTGTTTTCTCAGGAGGGCAATGGTCACCAGAGCAGAGTCCTCTGAATCCTCTTCTCCTCTTGATTTCCTGTCACCACAGACCTTCAGATCTTGGTTACAGTTCTTTGTTTAAGGTGAAGCTGATGGCTGTTCCTTTCACGCTTACTGTTCAAAACCCCAAGGCACCAAAGAATCAGACAACATTGACTCACATCACAAGCTGGATAATCTCATGCCTTTCCAAACCCACTGTCTCAAGTGGAAAGGAGATTAATGAGAGATAGAAAGAGATTAGACAAGACTGTTTCTAGTGTAGCAGTGCAGAGCATGTTGTGAGGACATCCTCTTCTAGACTTTAAGCCCTCTCCTTCTTCCATGCACGTGGCATTATATTGTCACTGCAAATTGAGTTTAGCTCTCAACTGAGCACGCGTCTCCACTTCAGTGTAAGAACAGCCTCAATGACAGACTATGCCTTGGTGAACTTAAAGTCAAGGAGCTGAGCCATGCAGTCAAACGCCATGGAACAACTATCAGCACAGCATGTTTTGCAGTATCCTGTCTATTGCTCTGCACTTTGGACATTAACAAGCATTATTTTTCTGTTGCAGCACAACTTTTAGAAACAGAATAGAAATGCTTAGGAAGCATGGTAATGCATATAGTGTTAAGAATCTCAGCAGACCCGTACTTAACATCCTAGACAACTTCTTTAGCCTTTAGGTGCAAAAGTATCCTCTCCTACGAGTGAAAGCAGCTACCTCAGTGCTTTCCATCTCAGCAGATCTTAGCATGCATTCGCATGCTTTACAGTAGCAACCCTGTTGATAACCAACCACCCAGTATTAGTAAAATGCTCTCAGATTTTATTAAAACCCCATTAAGAGGAAAAACTGAAATCACACATTATGTTCCACAATTACTGTAAACCAAACTGTTTAAACGAGGGGAGGAGATAATGATATTAACTACCCAACTCAAAGCAATCCTCTGTGGTATGATTCTAAATATTCTCTTGGCTGAAATTTATGTAAATTGAATTCATCTATCGTTAGTTATTACTAATCTAGCTACATAAAAACATTTTTCTGTAACAATTAGTTCTTTAAAACACTGTGTTTTAATTAGACCTGGGACATTATTAAACTAAGTGTAAATATGTACAGTATCATTCCATGCATTGTTTTGCCTGCATATTTATAGGAATATGGGCTTTGGTGGAGTTTAAAAGGAATTACTTCACAGTTGATTGGTAGGTTTTTTTTTAAATCTTCTTACCACCAAAACCACGTCCAGATGCTTAATCCAAGTGTGTTTCTGCTCATCAAGACATGTTTGGCATTTCTACATTTTGCCTATCACAATGTATTCCTTTTAATCTGAATAAACTCATCTCAGTATCATTCTAACATTATGCTGTCTTTTCCTACAGACATTTTGTTCCACAGTTTAATTTAACTTCTCAAGCACCCTTTCCTAGTCTTAAAAAAAAAAAAAGAAAGAAAAATTAAAAAAGAAAATAAAGGGTTAAAAGCATAGCACATCTTTCAACCCTTTTAAATTAGCTTGCTTCACACTATCATACACAGGCACTGGCCCACAGGGTCAGTCTTGAGAACAGACAACATACTGTCCTCCTGGCTCTGTCAGGGCTACACACAAACACAGCATCCTGCCCATGTACTACACATTGTAAGACAAGGAATGTAAGAAAAATTGTAGCCTTGCCAATGGTCAGATCCTTCCAAATTATGTCCAGGACACATATACCTTTGTGACCATAACCATATGCAACTACATCTAAGCCTATCCACAGACAGCACATAATCAGACACTAACAGGAAAAATGCAAATGTCATTTAGCTTCATCATGAATTAAAGATATAGGAAACAGGATCTCCACCTATAGCCAAGCCCATAAGTTAGGCACCAATATCAACTGATGGCTTTCCAAAAACACCACCATGACCTTCCATTATCTTCTCAGAAACAGGCCAATTATTTTCATGTTTTATAGAACACTTGACTTCAAACAAATAGAGAGATATATATACATATATTTAATGCTTCGCCAGTTGCTCAGGGCAAACTTACGAAGTAAGTGACCACATGCTAGTGACATTCAGGAGCCACTCAGTTAAAGGCCACGTAGACATGCAGCACTGTGAAACTGGTGAACAACTCTGGCTACTTATTAAAGTCCCTGGCCTACTATCACCCCATTGCATTTCCAGTCATAAGGTTCCTCCTATCAACTTCATAACTGGAAAAGTTTGTAAGAGCAAAGCTTTCAGTAAACATATTTGTGATTTATTTTCTGTCATACATACATATTCCCTACATAATCATGTTTTCAAACTAGGATACCACAATAAGCATCTAAGCGTGTGTATATATTTGTGACATAATAGCAGCTACCTTCTTTATAATTTTATTTTTAAAAAATCAGTAATTAGAAAAAAAATCAGCTGGTACTGTGGTTTGATTCTAGCCAATCTTTAATATTTTTTAAAAGTCTTTCCTGGGAATTTTTTTTACTGCAATGCTGCTCTAAGACTTGCCAAAAAAATCTGAAGTGAATAAAATGTGAAATGAGGTAATTGTATGTAAATGGAACTTTCCAATGATCAGTTCATGGAACTAAGATCAAAACCAAAATCGGGAGTATTATATGAACACACAAACTAGCTCAGCTTCTTTAACTGAGATTTCTTCAAAGAGCTACAAACTGGTTCTAGAAATTAAAATATGTTTATGTTGCTTTACTAGGACCCAGCATTGTAGTCAGATGCTCTGGGGCCTAAATTCATATTTGAAGTCAAAAGACATTCTCCTAATGACAGCTCAACTGAGGCCTTTGGGTATTCAAGAAAACCTTCTGAACTGAAAGCTAGGGACAGCAGAGAAAGTGGAGCTCGTGCCAAGCAACAAGAGAAAATGCCACGCACATACACAGACTTAAGAGTTGCTCCAACACTGGGATTCCACAGTTCGAGGCAGAAAGTACCTTCTTGCCACTGGAGGAGGACATGATAGGTGACAAAACGGAACAAATATTTGGGAATTGGTATTTTAAAAACGTGAATTGTCATCTATACCCACAAAACTTACATGCACCCTCCTCACTTTAACCTAGTCCCTCAAGAAAGCAGCAGCACAATGCATAACTTCAAAATGCCATGCAACTTTCTCTCTTGGCAGTACAGCTTTACACTCAAACAGCCAAACTCCAGCTTTTCATAAAACAATAATGCATAAAGTGAGTTATTTTGCACTTGCAGTTTTGATTTTAATTTTCTAACTTGAATTCTTTTGTCATTCATTCATTTTATAGATCATAGTCCTCTTTCTGGGGACACAAGACTGGAATCACAAACACACACTTCTAAACATGCACAAAATTTAGTAAAGAAGAACAAATTCAATTATTAGCTCCCTAAATAAATAAAACAATCAGTAGCTTGCCTACATATAAAATAATTTGTATTTAATATTCATTAATGTCTCTCTAAACAACACATCAACAGCAGAAATCTATTCTTCATTTATTCATAAATATATTTATTTAGTGTTGTTTACAGTGTCTTTTCTGAATCTTTGTAGACCATCAGGCCCACAAATACTGTTTTTGCTTTTTACAGAAACGGTTATATTTCCAGCTGGATTGATTGCTTTCCCATATCTAGCTATTTCAGTGTGTTCCTCAGAGACATTGAGTGGCTTCACTGACAGTGAAATATGCTAAACAAATGACAAGTCACTGAGTAAATTAGCATCTACTCTCTGATCAGCTGGGTCATGTTTTCTTTTCAAAATCCATGGCCTCTTGATAGAAAATAATGAGTATTTGATGGGCCTTATTAGAAAAATCAATATATTGATGCCCATGTCTGAAACATCTGCATAATAATAGATTCTGTTAACCCATTAAGGAGAAAATTAAGATGTGTTTACACATTATTAATTTACCATGAGCAGAGACGATTTATTCACTACTTTTCTCAAGAGTTTAACAAAAAGAAAAGAAACCGTAACATCTGCATTTAATGGCACGGTGAAATAAATTGAAAGATGATTCACATTTTTGCCAGCTAAATGGCACAATTCCACTAACACTAATGTGAAAAATACAAACACACCAATGATACTGTTAAAAGTAAGACTATTAAAACACTTGCTATAAATACTGCATTACTTACCAAAAAACTTCCAAAAGCGGAATTAAATATAGCAGCTGCCTGAAGAGAGAAAAAGATAAATATCACCAATGGTAAAATAGCTATAGTACAAGAACAAAATGTTATTCCCCTGCCCAACAAGCTATTAGATTCTCCAAATAAACACATACACAGAGACCATTAGGCAGTTAGCCGCTGCTTAAAAAATTGCCAGTGGCCTGTAACTTATGAAGACTGATAGATTCTAGTTTATGCATTCATAAATAATGTGCTGAAATGGACAAAAGCAGGAGGAGAAGAAAATCCTTGCCGGTAGACTTAAGAGGCATATCCACAAGAACTAAGAATATTACACAGAAGCTTGGTCTCACTGCATTTGCTCTAATTTGCCAGGAACATTTTTACATATTGACCTGTTAATAAAAATAAATATACCCCGATTTAACTAAAACACTGCATTTTCATAGACATTTAACAATTTTTCATGGAATATTAATCAGGCAAGCAAACTAATTTAAGTGTTCATCATAATAAAGTATTGAGAAATTCAGAAGTTTCTGTAGTTTGACTAACAAATTTAAAATAGGAACAACAAAAAAACCCCACAACAGCCCCACACTTCTGAGGCCAAAATGTCTAACATTACTTTTTACTCCATAGTCTTTTAAAATAAGAAAATAAACAATTTTGATAATGACTTTAGAAGTGTTTGTGCTTACCTAAATATCCAGGAAATATAAGGTAGCAGTATTATTTCTTAATATTAACTCATTAAATTCCAAGAAGTTAAAACTTGAGTCTTGAATAGCTTTCCCCAATTACCAAGAAAGAACAGAAACTCTTGTATGGCAGCCAGTCTGATGATGAAAAGCCGCACAGCAAAGGTAAGAGGCAAGGGAGGAGGGAAATCTACCATTTACATGAAGATTTAGACCACAGTCAAATTAATCACCCTGGACACTTCCAGCCACAGATTAATAACAAGTGGATGTTAGCAAGTTTAGCAAGTTTGAATAAAGTCCAAAACCAGGTTAGGAGCTGTAGCTGAACCTGCCTTCTGCTCCATAAGAGGATGCAATGAAAATGAATGGGTAATGAGATCCTTGGCTCTAGAGAGCTTAGCTTTCTTATTCAAGTTCATAATTAATTCAAAGCTTTGATAATTTCATTAGATTCCTCCTCTGCTGGCCCTATCAATAAAAGATGGCACTGGACCGCAGCTCCTCAGTGGCCCAAATACAAAAACAAATGCAGGCTGGGAAACCTTTGCTGACTTGCTTACTAACAGGGACAATGGCATATGGCACTCCATGTTGCGGAGGGAGCATCTGAATAGATACAGCTAAATAAAACATTATAGTTGACAGTTGTAAACTACAGTAACATATTTTAACACCTCTTCCTCATCAGCATTCCTTTTTGAACATAAAAAAAGAGGCACAAGTCCAAACAGCTCCTCTTGCCAGAGATCACAGCTGAACGCAAGAGTGAGTACTACTTAAAACAATTCTTCAACAAGTGTGAATTAAATCAGGGTTTTCTACTTGTATTTGAAGCTGTGCGGCTGATACTTCCATGTGGCAAGAGACACACACGACACTCATGCACACAAACCTACGGCAGGGATCAGTTTCAATACAGGACACGTCTTTGCAGGTATCGTTTGTTACTGCATCCTTCTTAAAGTTCCTATTATCATTATACTAAAGAACCCATCAGGTTTATCAAGTCTCTTTGGTATTTGTTGGACATGTGCCATTCTTTTACACAGACTCATTGTATTTGACCACTTCAATCCAATCAAGATGCAGAAAGGTCCCTTTTATTACACCCTGCCTCTGAATCCACGAAGGAGGATCTAGACTTCCATTTTTAAGCACACTTAAAGATCTCTTCCTTGCAAAACAATCTTTGCTATATAAAACAGTGTAAATCAGCTGTTAAGATCTGAAAGACAAAAGCATCTGGGCTCCACTTCTGCACCAGAAGGCTGGGAGGAAACTTAATGGTCCCCTCCTCCCCATGCAGATTTTGCGTGCAGAGTGACAGCTACATTTCTGTCTGCTAGAAAGAACCGTATCACTCACCCTCTTCAGGAAAGCTAGTGAAGTCCACATAAAATGGACAGAAAGCATAAAAAGTAGCCCTTCCCTCCCTAAAACGTTAAACTTACCTACTTGTCTCAAAAATACCTGGGCCTACCAGAAGTTGGGTTCAGGCCAGGCTCCGCTTACAGTGCAGGTGAGGCTGCCAGACCACGTCTACTGATGCAGGAGAAATAACTTTAGTGATAGACAGCCCTCAGCCATTTTCCTGGTCATTTCAACAATGCACAAAGAACAAAGCAGTACCTGGCAAGAACCGATACACTTAGAAGGACACTGTGCATCTAGTTTTAGCCACATCAGTGGCCACCAGTCCTGATTTGAGGGTCATCTAGAGACATGACATTTTTTACTTAAAATACGCTGCACTTCCACTTCCAGGAAAATTTCTGTATCTGGAAAGGTGGTAAGGAGAGATACTAGATGGCTCTATGGTGGTGAGATGAGATGGAGATACTTTGGCCATCAACAAATTTCTTTTCCTTCTTCCTTCCTGATCCACCTGGAAGATTTCTGGTTTGGTTTGTTTGTTTGTTTTTTAATATTCTCAAGAATATAACAGGTACTAAGGCAACAATCTCAGACAAATTTTATGCTTCAGGTATTCAGCCAGTCATGTGTAAAAGTTAAAATTCACGACTGGTCCAGGGGTACACTAGTTTGTAATTTTTAATTCCCTTTCTCCAAAGCGTCAGAAATAGTCCACATCAGATGATTAAACACTCATTACAGGCAAAAGAAGGAAAAAAAAATAATCAGGAAGACCACAAATTAAGCTATAATCACTCAGATGATTTGCCTCAGTGAGGGAGGACTTACACGTGTCAATTACTCTATTTGCAGTTTTCTTTATAAACATTTCTCCTGCAAAATAAACTTAGAAGTAAATTTTTCTCATACCCACAGACCTTGGGCTTATATTTGTGATTCTGGTTCAGCTTAAACAAACTGGTAGTAAACTGAATCAACTGCTCCAATTTGTAATTAAACGTACGTGGTAGCATGACCTTGTAGAATTTAAACACTTTGCGCTTCCAACTCCCTTCTATCAAGAGGGATAATATTGCCTACATACCTCACAGGGCATTGTCAAAATTAATTCATTGCTTAAAAAGCACTCTGAGATCCTTAGAGGGAAGATACAAATAAACATTAGTGCTGACACATGATACAGCTAGGCTCTTCATTTTCTATTTGAAACATTTATTAGTCACTAGTATTGTATAATTTTTTTTTAGCATTTGCTCCTTTTGTGCTTCAACAGATATCAGACTATCTGCAGTCAGCTTAAATGAAACAATAAAACATGAAAACATTCAGATGTTCTTACAATACTCGAAGTTCAGATTTGGATGTGTTTGCAAACTGTTCGTGGCACTTACCATTGATATGAGGGGAGAGTCCTCTGTAAAATCAATGGTAAGATCCTTTCAAAAGGTAAACGCATAGCAATGTATTAAAATGCAAGGTCAGACCACATTCAAAAGCAGCAGTACTAACAACCAGACCAATTACTCAAGTTTACATCAACTCAGAGACAAGACTGAAAGTCACTGCCAGTACTCCTAACAGGGCTAGTACAGAAAAGCATGTACATCTCCACTTGAGTTTAAAATAAAACACGCTAGCTCCACTAAACAACAAATTTACTTAGTATTAAGCAGGTCCAATTTCAGTCAACTCTGTATGGCACTGGGCTTGAGGGAACTCTCTTGCTGGTCTGCATTTCCAGGGAGGATCAGCTGGCCTGGAGCACTTTCAAGTGAGAAGTAACCAGCACACCTCTGAAGGAAACCTACCTGGCAGTACCTGGCAGAAAATTTCCTCTTCCCACACCTAAGCCTAGCACAAAGCTTCAGCCCTTCGTCTCCCACCTTATCCTGGAATATATGTGTGGAAAACACTGCTAAGATATGTAACAGTGACAGCAACAAGATGCAAGACAGTCCTCATAGCAACAAAGGCCAGTAAAAAACAGAAGAAAAAGGCAAACCCACAGCCAAGGGGCTGAGCACTTCCCCATGGGTGGGTACCCAAATGCAGCAGCAAGTACGCACAGCATGCAGGTACACGTGACTGGGCAGCGAGTCAAACAGCCATGCTACGGTTTCGATAGCATTAAATACAGAACACATACTGAACTCTGTTCCATTTCCTTTTATTTTGGTATCAAACTAAACTATCTTAGAATTTATTAGGCTAGCTATCTTTTGATAATAATGTAGCAGGGCTACATTAAAGAAGAGGAAAAGATACACTGGCAACATTTGGAACACCTGGGTCAAAACCCAGCATTTTATCATTCATTATCAGCAGGATTTGAATGAAATTGTTATGCACAACTCAGCTGGAACTACAATTTCCTTTACTGCAGGGTCACAGGGAAACAACGGTGCCTCATAGCTTTGTATGTGGACCATATAAAAAAAAGTAAAAGGCTTTTTCACCAATATGTATTTATTTTAACACTAAAATGTTTGATTCTTGAGGGTCATTTGGCAGCCTTCAGGGAGGTAACCTTCCTCACTGTACTTAACCCTATGCTTACCGCCAGGCACCCCACAGCTGAGAGAGCACACGCTATGCACACTAGGACCTGTCCAGCCCCGAGTCGTCCCTGCTCTGTGGAAAGGATGTTTGTTCCAGGGCCAAGGCCACAGATGTAGAGTAATGAAACTAAACGTCCTCAAAACATCTCAGAAGAAGTGGCCTGGGCATCATACAAAGCTGCTCTGTGCATGCCCGCAACTACCTGCAGTTAAAACCTTATCATTTTCAGACATGCACTAGTGGGATATACAGCTTAAGTACCTGGCATAAGACTAAATATCCTATTGAACACACATGGCACAGCGAAGAAGAGAGAAAAACCCAGAAGAGTAGAAAAGAACTGGAGAAAGACAAGGACTCTAGCAGTACTACTACAGAATTATGCAGTAGAGGGCAGAGAACACA